TATCCAACGCCATCGCGCTTAGCCACATGAAAACCGATGTCGATTCACCTCTCGTTCTCAGGACTGGTTCATCACAAACTGCCGTTGGCGCCGTTTTACAGCAGCTGATCAACAAACAACCTGAACCTTTGTCTTTTTGCTCCAAAAAGCTTCAGCCTGCGCAAACTCGATACAGCACATTCGGTCGCGAAGTTCTGGCTATTTACCTTGCCATGAAGCACTTTCGACATCTAATGGAAGGACGTACCTTCATTATCCTTACGGATCACAAACCGCTAGCTTTTGCCTTCCGCGGTTCCTCCGATCGATTTTCACCTCGTGAGACTCGTCATTTGGACGACATATCACAATTCACGACAGACATTCGTCACGCTGATGCCACTAACAACACTGTTGCTGACGCGATGTCACGTATCGATCTCCACCATATCTCACGCCAAGCTATTAACCTCGAGGATATTGCAGCTCACCAAGAAGACCATCCTGAGTTCGCAGACTGGAGAACAAACACTTCATTGAAACCCTCTCAATTGCTTATTGTTAGTTTGGATTCTAAAGTCTATTGTGCTCTATCGACTGGAAAGCCAAGACCTTTTGTTCCACAGCAGTTCCGCAGAATTGTTTTCGATCACCTGAATGGCTTTTCCCACCTTTGCATTTGAGCCACGGTCAAGTTAATCACCGACCGCTACGTATGGCACAATATGCGTTCCGACATCCAAAAGTGGGCGAAGCATTGTGTCACTTGTCAAACTAGCAAGCTACATCGGCACACGATCACTGTACCTGGCACATTTGCGTTACCAGACGCTAGATTTAAACATGTGCACCTTGACCTCGTTGGACCACTTCCTCCATCCAACGGTTTCCAGTATTTGCTGACCTGTGTCGACCGTTTCACACGATGGCTTCATGCAGTACCTTTAGGAGACATTTCCACCGAAACCGTTTCGCGGACGTTCGTTGAAACCTGGATATCTGTGTTTGGCACCCCAGCCACGATCACAACAGACAGAGGTTCTCAGTACAATTCCGCTCTTTTGTGAGACCTCAATCATTTACTCAGCTGTTGTCATCGGCGAACAACCGCCTACCATCCAGCCGCCAACGGTCTTGCTGAGCGTCTTCATCCTCAAATGAAAGCCGCAATTACCGCGTCACAATCGAGCAGGCACTGGTCCGAACAGCTACCAATTATCCTTCTCGGCATTCGCAACACGGTCAAAGAAGAGCTAAGTTGTTGCCCCGCTGAAATGGTTTTCGGCACAACTCTCAGGCTTCCCGGTGAGATGGTGTTAGATTCCAGAATCACTGGCTAACTAGACCCGACTTCCTATGTGGTGCGATTGCGACATTTTTCTTCAGTCCGGTCAACACCGCCCCGATTCTGCTCTCGAAATCAGCAAGTCCACTCTGATTTGCATACCTGTCCTTTCGTTTTTGTGTGCCTCGATGCGGCGCGTAAACCCTTGACACCGCCGTGTGAAGGCCCCTTCAAAGTTCTTACTAGCAGAGAAATACTTCGTATTGGATAGAAACGGTTCGAAGGATTCTCTCAGTCTTGATCGCTTAAAACCAGAACTAGAACATCACAACAAGCTACCGAACAGACGTTTCCCAGTACCCCTCCTACCCAGCCAATGTGTGAACCCTGTGTACAAACCTCTACATCCTCCACAGAACCAGTTAGTGAACCATACGCAGCAAAGCACACACGCTCGTGACGCGCTGTTGTTTTGCCTACGAAACTAATGACTACCCACAACACAAGTTTCGAGCGTTCGTTCTCCCGACTCACGCTCTAGGAGGGGAGTTCTGTAGTGTTTATAAATTCTTCACATTTTTCGTTGTAACCTACTATTCTATTATCCGTCGTTTTTTGTACATTTGTTTCAACCCACACAACAAGATATAATCGCATCTTCGAATTTCGTTCGTCTCCTGGTTTCGGTGACGTGCAGCCTTCGATTGTTGTGTATGTGCTTCGCATCGGTCGTCGGATCTCTATCTACGGAGCAGCGTTCGATTTCTCCGTTCGTGCCATCGGACAGGTTTGCTGATTTTTATCTATTGTAACCTGACCGTGAGCAATCGTGCTAAGGTCCTATTCGCCGTAAACCTTTGGCGATTATAACTGTCAGACACTATAAGCTCACCTGGGCCAAGAGGAGTTCAGATCCAGTTCGAGGAGCTTCAGCACCACAGGGCTGATTTCGATTTGATCAAAAGAGGGACAGTGTGCAGGCAGAGTTTCCGCTATGCAGTGTTCCACAAGGGACAGCATTATTCATGCTTCACCAGCAAGTAGATTAACAACCTTTGGAAACATTAGGCAGCTTATGCACTGACCAGTGGCGCAAGATTGTTCCAGCCATTCGTACACAAGCGGATAAAGTGCCATTGGGGCAAACTCAAAGCCGTCTCGATATAAGCAACTTAGATAAATGTCATCATCATCATCATCATTACACGTTAGCTGGAGGTGGAAAGCACCTCAGCTATTGTGCCGCAATACAAAAGACAAGAAAAGAAAAAAAACAGTGGCACGCCCGCTGAGTCCCCAGTAACGGATGGACATCGTTCCGGAGAGTTAACAGCTGGCTGCCGTAAAAGAGAGTCGTATTATGCCTAACAACTGAGATCGTGATTGGAGGGGGATGCTAAACAGGAGGGGATGGACAAAGGAACTCACAACACAAACGCCATTGGTGCCGGCTCCAAGCCATATCAGCAAGTGTGTCCAACCAAACGTGTTCATCATCCTTAGGACCCCAGCCAGGCAGGCGGGATGCACCAACCGACGCCAACTTCGAAGTGAGGGTTTTCATTTCTCTCGACCAAGTCATCACTTGGCCTCCCCTCCTCCTCTTCCAACCGCACCCACAACGCGCAAACAATGCACGCCGCGGGAGTCGGTGTGCTGGCATGCGCAACACATGGCCCAGCCATCGGAGCCTGGTGCGTGATATAATGGTGCTGAGCGGTTCACTCGCTCTTCCTGCACCAAATACGCGACGTCGAACACGCTCATTGCTCACGCGGTGCTCCCACCAGACATGAGCTAAGCTGCGAAGGCAGCGATGATCGAATGTGATGAGCCTCTTCATGTCTGTCGACCTGATGGGCCAGGTTTCACAGCCATATAGGAGAGTTGAACGGACGGCTGCGTTGTAAACTCTGCCCTTCAGGGCGACAGTAATGTCGCGTCTGCGCCACAGGTGGCGGAGATTGGCAAAAGCACCTCGAGCTTTTGCTATACGGTTCGTAACCTCATCTTCAATCCCACGGACGCTAATATAGCTGCCCAGCTACTTGAATTCCTGAACGACTTCTAGCAGATCACCACCAAGCGTTAGCGCAGGGTTGGGTCCCTGCCAATCTTGGAGAAGTACTTTGCATTTCGATGGAGCAAAGCATAGCCCAAAACGATTGACAGCCAGTGCTAATCAGTCCAGTGTTGTTTCGTATGTTTGCGAGCTGTCACAGATTAGGGCAATATCGTCCGCATACTCTAAGTCAAGAAGTCGCTCACCAGGAAGTAGCTCCACACCTTCTAGGTCGTGTCCAGCGAACGCTGTTTCCATGACTTCATCAATAGCGAAGTTAAAGAGGAAAGGTGACAGCGGGCAACCTTGCCTCACACCGCTGGTGATACTGAAGGGTGGCGACAGTTTGCCATAAACCCTCACCCTGCCCGAACTATGTGCGTACAGCGCTTTGATAATGTTTACATTTTTATCAGGCACACTTTTCCTCAGCAGACAATCCCAAAGGGCATATCGATCGACTGAGTCGAAGGCACCTTTTATGTCAAGAAACATGACAACGGTGGGTCGCCAAAAAACATGGTGGTGCTCTAACGATTGACGCAAGGTGAAGATGTGGTCGATGCAGCCCCGACCTCGACGAAATCCGGCTTGCTCTTCACGAATCTGGCTTTCACGAGTGCCAGTCAGTCTGTGGAGAATGACAGGCAAGCAATTTAGAGGCAATGGAAATCAGACTGATCCCTCTATGATTGCCGAGTTCCAAACGGGAGTTTCCCTTGAAAATTGGGACAATTACGGAGCGGTTCCAGTCTGTGGGGACTGTCTCCTGCTCCCAAAGTTTTACTAGCAGCTCGTGTAGATCATCTACTTGAGCAGGTCCTCCGAATTTGAAGAGGGCTGGGGGAATTCTATCTGCCCCTGCGGCCTTATGCAATTTCAACAGCCTGATCTCACGTTCGACTTCTGCGCGTGAGGGCGGATGCGAGGAGACGGCCCAAGGAGAAGGGCGCTCAATGCCCGAAGAAGAAAGCGATAACTCAGGTTGGTTAAATTGCTTTGCAAGCCTGAAGAAATTTCCCATCTCACTTCGTAAAATAGGGTAACTCAAGTCACTCCAAAGAAGATGGTACAGGGGAAACAAGCGCCATAGTCTAGGAGTAAGACGGGTTCCGCAATGTCGAGAATTTTGTTCCCCACTGCTGAACCTCTCCATAAGAACGCACTTGACCATCTGGCCGACAAGGCGTATGATAGATGGAGTCTGAAGATTTCCGAGATCATTTCGGAAGACGAGCACCTTAGGTTAAATAACATACTATTGGCAGCCGACATTTATTCATGGTGTCAAAGTTTAGGTGAAACGAGCACTCCAAGGTCCTCAAAAATAGCGTTACTATGCAGGAAGTTTATAATGATAAGTACCAAATGGAGAAAGTGCACCAATTGAGCGAAGGCAACTACTATTGTAGTTGACAGGTAGCTGCAATTTCACTGGTAAGTAGCGGAACAGGACCAGCGTTGCCGTAGCTGGCCACTATCTTCGAGCTTGGACACCTCTGGTCATCATTTATTAAACATATATCAAGTGATCAGTCTGGGGATTGAGTGGAAAATCACTAATGATGATTATGATTCTAAGGATAAAGGAGTCTTGTGGGACCCCACTGCCCTAATAAACAATGAATGCGCGTGGAAAAAAACAAACTGTGGTGATTTGAAAAGGTTACCCACATGTTATTTGGGTTTTCAGCAGCCTTCACAGTTTCAGAATCCAAATGCAACTTTGATGGTCTGCCGTAAACACGTAAAAACTTGATCGGATCCTGCTTCTGGAAAAAAGATGGTACATTCTAGGCGTAGTTAACGTACAATCCTCTCATAATAGTCCCTGCGACGCTCTGCCCTCTTTCTATAATCCACCATCAACGTTTTGATGTGCTTCTCTTGTTTCCGCGCCTCTTGCCACATGCTGACGGCGAAACCTTGGCGGAAGTCACTGACCGGAGTGTCGGACCCGCCAATTGGCTGGCCACTAGTGGCAAGGCAAACAGTATGAATTCAAGATGGCGATGCTATCCGATTGGCTGCATGGTGGTGATTAGAATTGCGTGGAGATGTGTACTTTCTAGTCAGCTTAACCTGAAAACGTGTGTTTTAATGCACCGATATGATGATTACCATTGGTAACCGTTAGCACAAAAATGAAAGATGTCAATAAATGTGAATCATTGGAGTATCATTGGAGTGGTAGAGAGCAGATAGGGCATCCTGTGTCAGCTCCATCACATCCCGTTCAGAGCAAGGATTGTGCGACATGTTGGGAGGCGGTATTCCGCAAGGGACCATTACGGTCGCATCGAAAACAGCAGGATCCTTGCATACTCAGCAGATAGGAGTTTAACAGTTTCTTAAAACTTTCCTCACATTGTGCACTAACGACCAGTTCAGGAAAGCTGTTCCAGTAGTTTACCACTCGAGTTGATAGGGTGAAATCAGAATGAATCCGGACCCTCCTCGGCTTAAACAGTTTCCAAGAGTGACCCCGTGTCGAGCTATCAGCGCAGAGCTGGAAGAACGCTTGCAGTTCACTCCCCATCTGTCCTCGCAATATCCGTCTGGTGTAAATCAGATCACCCCGACGTCGACGGTAGTCCAAGGAAAACATGTTCATCTGTCGAAGACGCTGAGTGTAAGGCAGGTCACGGAGCGCTGAGATGGATTTCGAGCCTCGTCGCTGAACTCTTTCAATCATAACACGTACAGTCTTTGTAAAAGGGTAGGCCGCAGGCAAACCGTACTCGAGGATAGGGCGCACATGGGAAGAAAAAAGAAGTCTGAAGACCTCTGGAGTCATTCGGGAGAACGATCTCCTAATGGCACAGAACATCCTATTCGCAGCCGCTATCTTCCTCAGGGTGTCCTCGGAGGTACGCAGATCGGGAGAAACGAGTATACCAAGGTCTTTCTCACAGGCAGCATTCCTGATCAAGAAACCACCAATGTGATAGGCGCCAAATGGGTCAGAAGAGCCGATCGGCAGGACAGAGCACTTCTCATGATTGATGGGTAAACGCCATTCCGAAGACCAGCTATGAAGCAGGTCTAGCTTCTCTTGCAGTCGGTCAGCAGCTTCAGGTGTTGGTACCTCCATCCATAACTTTAGGTCATCGGCATAAAGCAGACAATCGGTCTGGAGTACAGATGGAAGGTCATTAATGTAGACTTTAAACAGCTCGGGGCCAAGGGCAGAGCCTTGTGGAACCCCACTGGTCATGGGCACGGAAGCGGAGTAGACCTCATTCACCTTCACTCGCATGCTACGGCCATCCAGAAAATCAGTGATCCATGAGAGAATCTCTCCAGAAACACCAATACTCCGAAGTTTAAACAGAAGCCGTTCGTGCAGCACTGTATCAAATGCCTTCTTGAAGTCGACGAAGACAACGTCTAAGCGATTTCCGGAATCTAATGACCTGGCCCACCTCTCTCTGGCAACGAGCAGGTTGGAAACACATGAGCGAGCTCGCCTGAAGCCATGCTGCGCAGAGGAAATGACATTCAAGCCGTCAAGGTGACTCTGAAGGGCTCGTTTGAGGATTCGTTCCATGACTTTACAAACTATAGATGTTAAGCATATTGGTCGATAGTTTCCGGGGTCCTGACGATTTCCACCTTTATATATGGGCTTGACGGTGCCTATTTTCCAAGCAAGCGGGAGACGCCCCGCGTCAAGAGACCGCTGAAAAATTTGGCAACCAGGTACAGCAATGTACTCAGCTAGGGTTCTGAGAAACAAAGGGTGTATCCCATCAGGACCTGGTGATGAGTTCGGATTTAGCTCGAAAAGAAGCTTGGCAACCAATTCGGGGCTGATTTCTAAGCGTTCTAAAGTACATGAAGGCGTAGACGCTAAATCATAGGTAAACGGTGGCTCAGTCGAAAAGACTGAGGAATACTGCAGGGCCAAGAGTCCGGCTTTTGCATCATCATCATGAAGAGTAGTATCATTTTCTTTGGAATACAACGCAGGTATTCCATTACCAGCTTTCGTACGTCTCCGCAAGTAGGAGAACAGTAATTTAGGAGCGGTGGAAGATTCCTCAGCCAAGCGGCGCTCGTACTGTTGTCGCTTCTCTCGCTTTTTGAATGTGCAGATATTCCTGACCGCTTTGTAATCAAGGTAGTCCAGAGGCGATTGCGTAGTCTTGAACTTATCCCACAATTTGCGTCGACGGCGCATAAGGGATTTTAACTCTCGATCAATCCAGGGAGGGCCATTGGAAAAACGTTTCCCTTTGCAGAGTGGAACGACCTGAGTTATGAGGGACGTGAACTTGGAGTACAAGAGGGTCCAAGCGTCATCAACATCTAAGTGATGAGGGATACTCCAGTCCATAGCGCCGGCAGCAGTTTTCAAACGGAGTGGATCAGCACGCCAGAAGTTCCGACGGCATACTCCCTGATCGTGAATGGTAAGACGCCGCATCCAACAAAGGGAAACTACGCAGTGGTCACTTCTCCCAAATGGTTGGAGGATAGTCAAGTCGGAAACATCCGACTGCGTCGGTGTGAGCACGAGGTCGAGGATGTGTGGCGATTGACCCGGACACATTCTGGTGGGCATTGTAACATGTTGAAACAGATGGCATGCAAGCACGGTTTCGAGGAAGACAGCATCAAAGGAGTTCGGGGGAAGATTGCAATGGAGCAAATCCCAGTCAATACTAGCAGTATTAATGTCTCCCAATATCAGACAATCCTTGCCTCTACCGTGCATACTAATAGAGTCCAGCAAGCTAGCACCGGAAGCCAAGGGGGCTCTGTAAACGACTCCAACCATAAGAGACTTGCATCCATCATGTACCCGACACCAAAGAAGTTCACACCCATCTTCATTGTCGCGTATGGCCTCAACCAGATGACCCCTGAGATCTTCTTTCCAGTAAAGAATCACACCACCTCCGGACCTATTTCGAGAGCGATCCGCTCGAGCTAGATTATACCCCGGAATATGCACCTCTGAGTCGAGGATGTCCGAAAACAACCAAGTATCTGTGAAAGCCATAAGATCTGGGTGATTTTCATAGGCAAAGTTCTGAATTTCATCAAGTTTGTTTCGTAGGCTACGTACATTAGCAGATATCACCCTCAAACTATTCTTCGGTCTTACCGCCCGGGAGCGACAAAGATTGGCCTCCAGCGAATTCTCGGAGCTTTTTGAACTACACGAAAATCCACAATGTGGAGGTTCGTCTCACCATTTTCCCGGCGTGCTCGTAGTTCTTCGACAGCTTTCTTCCTTCGGATCCGATCCTCCGGACAGAGGTCCCGCAAAACATAAAAGGTTTCTCCCCTAAGACGTGGGGTCCGTCTGAGAATGCGGCGACACTCATCCTCACTCTGACAGACAATCTTGAGGGGACGAACTTTAGAAGAATCGTCTTGCTTTCTTCCGAGACGAAAAGCAGAGACAATATTGATCCCTTTTTCACCTTCATCAAAAAGGAGGGAGACCATTCGCCGCAGAAACTCTTGGTCGTCCAGGATCCTTTCAGCAGGGGAACCCTTGTTGGATTCAGGAGCATTCATGATAATCAAACAACGGTCACGAGAATGCGGTCTATTGTATTCAGTGGGTTGGGACATGGGAGGCATGCTGTTCTTGAGAACGTTTTCCAACTGGCTTACTCTATCGAGGACCAACTTTAGTTCAGAAGATTTCTTGGGTTTAGTCGTAGAATCACTCTTGGTTTTCTTCGCTCGCAGAGTTGCGCATGTACTAGCCGATGCTTGTTCTACATTCTCACTCACTACTGCCGCATATGTCTTTCTCCTGGACTCATGGCTGCCATCACTAAGTGTCAGAGGCTCCGATAGCGAAGACGAGGGGACGCGACTTCGTTTACCAGTGGAACTGGCTAAGTCAGAGGCCGAACGAGGCGATGAAGATACCGGCGGTTTAGCAGAGGTGCAGTTCTCAGTTTGAGTAGGAATGGATCGTGGGCTAAGTGCGTGGACTAAGTTCAGCACCCGTCTATCGCTCAATACAGTTCGACAAGAGTCACAATGGAAACTGATAGCTGAGGAGGTGGTCCTCTGGAGGTAATCATAAAGATCTGGACTGATGTCGCAGCAGGCAATGTGCAGCCACCCATCACAGAGAGAGCATTGCACAGCCTTCGATCTTGCAGTAACGGCTTTACCACAATCCAAGCATTTGGACGCCATCGTGCCTTGTGCTTGACAAATTCCAAATATTTAGCAGTTGAATCTCCAGGTAAATAAAGTTCGAACACTTTCCTTTGCAAAAAGGATCCAAAGAGAAACGGAGCACCCAAACGCACGTCGATGAGTTACAATCTGGTAGGTAAAAATCACGCAATATCATTCTTCTTTCTTTGGAAAACGAAGCAATAAGGTGATATATATCTGGTAGCTGTGAGTAGCTTATTGACAGTCAAAATGATTGTCCATTCATTGAAGCATACCGGTGAGATCCATTTCGCATGGAGAAGGTTCTGATCGTATTCTGGAAAGCTCTGTGGTCGTATTATGATACATAAAAGGGTTGTAGAACTTATCAGGTTACAGTGAAATGTTAAGTAATGAAAGTAATACACCAGCTGTCTAGGCATGGATAGAGATATCGGTTCACGACGAAGTGAAGAGGCTTTCACGGGCCTCTCTTCTGCTCTCTACTACTCAGTGAACTCAAGGATTAATGGCACATTTAGTTAGAAAATTAACCGTCGCCGTGAGCAGAATACATCGAGATATCTGTAAATGTAAATGTAATTGAGGCTGTACGGGAGGTAAGTAAATGGATCGAAGACCCGCTCAAGAAGGAACACTTACGGGATTCATCCTATCGTTCCCGTTCCAGTTGAACTTGAACTTGAGGTAGTTGCTAATGAAATAGATATACAAAGTGGGAGAAGTAGGTTTGGTAAACAACTTTCCTTAAAGAA